TTTCACTCGTTTCAGTCATTTTAGTCGTTGAATGACGTCGTGGCTGTTGATTTTCTTTATTAGCTCAGCTCGGTTTAATGAGCATATATTTTCCATTGTGTAACTTTAAGGACTTATCCACATTAACTGCAATATATGTTTATGCTTGGCAATTGAAATTAAATTGTGTGTTTTATTGCCAAACCGAACTCAAACCCATTCTGCTAAATGCTTTGCAACAAAATGCGAGAGCAAACGATAATTTACTTAATTGTGCATCACCGAGAGCAACTTGATTATAAATTTTCAGTACGGTTTTATTTTTGTTTTTATATCGCAATTAAGTTAATTGATTTTATTGATTCGGTTTTAATTCATTTCAACTAGAGACGTTAGCCCAAGTGCTACATTTAAGTGTTTGAAATTGATGCTGCCAGCAAATGAAATTAATATTCAGCTCGGAGCAAGAATTAGACTTTGATTTTCCTTTATAATAATTGTAGAGCCTTCAAAGAAACACATAAAACTTCAAGTCATTTAAATAAATAAATTGAAAAATGAAATTTAGTACTGAAACTTGAAAGCCAAAAAGTTAGTTTTTATTTTTAAAATTGAACTTACAATCAGATTTAATTTTTGCCTAAAAGTATGCTTTTGTAAAAGCATTCAATGTCATAATGTCTTAACCCTTTATAAGCTTAGTTTTTAAGTGACAGTGATAACTTCCATATGAATAGTTGCAAGTATTTTTGTTTGAAATATTTTTTATTTTATTTTTAAAAGGCTTAGTAGTAAACTGAACGTGTCTACGAATGTTATAAAATAAATTCTTTATATATATTAAAGAATTAAATAATTAATTAAATAATAACCAATTCTTTTAATTCTTTTTTAAATAATATTATGTATATTATGTATATTTAATTATATTTAATAAAGTTTATGTAAGTTATGTTATTAAAATACATATTTAATATTATTTAAATGATATTAAAAATATATTTCATATTGTCACAAATATTTCGGCTCTAGCTTATAGCCATTTTTAGGGTACTAAGAACTATAGCCTAAGAGACTATAGTCGAAATATTGGCGACTATAACATATATTTTTTATAAATAATTGTATATTGTGTATTATTAATAGTTGTGTTTTATTTAAACAATTGACCAATTATTGCGTTTAAAAATTAATAAATTAAATTTAGTCATTAAAGCATTGAGTTATAAAATAAATTCTTTTAAATCCAATTTTTACCTATTTCCATAGTATCTTAACATAACACTGGAAAGCAATAAGTTGATATAAATAGCCAATTAATATAAAACAGATTTTAGAAAGTGAAAAAGATTTTATAAGAATATATCTTTTTATTATGATTTGTTAGTCAAATGCCACAAATGAAGTTTTTTAATTCATTCACATAGAAACTTTGTTAGTATAGAGTTGCGAACTTTATTTATTATTGGAGGACAGAAGATAACTAAGACAAAAATCCCTGAAAGCCATATTGAAGATATAAATATTTTTATCTGGAATCTCAGACATGTATATAGTTTTAAGTATAACTGTTAATATAAGAAATACATATTTTGAAATGCTTCAGCAGTCTACAAGCAATCCAAATTTCACTAATTTAGTTTTAGAATCAGTAAGGGTCTATAATTGTATCGAGTATTTTACTGTCAAACTCGGCTAATAGAGCATACGTAAATTTAAATAATTCCAGTCCAAACACCTTTTACATATAATAATTCATGACAAACATCAATAATTTAAACAATAATTTCACTTGAATGTTAATAAGGGTTCTAAATCATTCCTATAACAAAACTATATAAGCACACGAAAAATTCATATGTCATAATTTGCACCCTATTTATAAATATATCTTAATTTTTGTTTAATCGAATACATTCTGAGCTTTACAGATCTCAGTATATTAAATTTTTCTCTAACGCTTATTCCTAAACTCTGCGATCATCCACAATTCATCTACAGTTTCATTCTACTGACTTATTAAAATCACTATTAATCCCAAAAATCCATTGGTTTTGAGTACTTTCTTTCTCTCTAATACTAATCATATGTCAAGGCAGTATTTTTTAATATTTACAACATCCGGTCGGTGCAGTAAATGTTCCAACCATCGTATATGGTGAGCCTTCATAAATAACTGTTTACAGGCCCACAGCCAGAATTAGTTTTGGGAGCGGCGGAATCCCTTTCAGACAATTTCAGCAATTAAAAAAAAACAGGATTTTATATTTTTAGTGTTCATAATGTATTAATAATGAGTATAGTTAAATAGTATAGTCCTTCGAATAATTTTGGTGAGAGTAGGGGTAGCAGTAATTCAAGCTCACCACCCACTGGCTGTGTGCTTGACAGTCTAGTATCTGCTTGAGCTTATCAAAGTATCTTTAGTAAAGCGAACATTTCCATTGTGATTTTTTGATCCAAAGATTGTTCTTGAAAATTTTGACTCAAAAGCAGATTGCTTCTTAGTTTCGTTATCTTTTTGTATTTATAACTCACATGCATAATTCAGCAATAGTCGATCGATAGAATTGTAAATTTGTATTTTATATTGAGAATACTGAAATATGTAATTATTTATAAGTTTTAAGAAATATACATCCATTTACGGTATTAGCAGCTCTTATTTTATGAACACCATTGCTATTGAAAGTAAGACCCAACTATTCAAAGTTCTATCTACACTGTTCTAAAACTATAACGCCCTCTTGCAGTTTGTAAAGACTAAGCTGTGCTCCCCTTTTTATTTTAAATGTTGAACTTTTTTTATTATAAAACTGTTTGTTTAAGATACAATATTCAACAAACATAACTTTATATTTTCTATATTAACACATAAAACAAATTCAAATCATAGAAGACTATTCAATAGGGAAATTTACTTAATATAAAAAATCTAATGAATATATATAGTCAACTTCAGTTATTATTAAGAATGTAATAGTGTGTTCACATTGCCTTCATTAAAGCCGTTTATTTGATTTAGGTCATTAATGAAACTTCATTAGCAGTACAAAGAGGCTAAGAGTGGTTAAACTTAGTTAAGAATAAATTAAGGAAAATCACAACAGAAATGTCATATGCAACGCTCCAAAATATATTTCCTAAAAGGAAAATGATCAAAATTTAATATATTTGACACCTGAAACAATATGTACCATAAATAAATAAAAGGTTAGAATTTTTTGATATATTTGATTTTTATATATAAAATATTTAATTGAGATATAGGAATATATAAATGAGTTTATATATCAAATATATATTTTAAATCCTTATACAACATAATATTTTATTTAATAAAATATATTCATTTCATTTGAACGTAAACTGAAACGTGAAGAAACAAAAGCTCTCCTAAAACTTTCACAGAAATCTCTTTCACATGTATAAATCAACTTATAGGTATAAGGGAACGACCAAATCTTACTTTCATTAACTCAAATTGCTTTAGTTGCAATGGGAACATGGTATTAGTTGTCTTGAATAATTTCAGTTTTGGCTTGGAATATAGAACACTAATTCGGTATTCTAAACTTAGTTCACCTATTAAGTGTGTAAGAGTATGTAAAGTCAACGCAATGATTTTGATATATAAATCTAATACCTTTCCTTTTGAGAGAATTCATCAAATCACATACATTTCGCTATTCGTAATATTTTGAAAATTTGGTTTATACCTCTAAAACAAAAAAAAAAATCTATAAATCTATTAAAAAATCGGAACAGGTTTCTACTTAACATCCCATAATTTACTTTGTCCCCTCAATTTACTCATTTAATACTACAAATTATTGGCGTAGGTCAGCTTTATAAAAAAATACATGAAAATACACTTAATCACATCCGAAATGACAACAGATGGTTTGGGTAGAGCGATTAAAAATCGAACGAGCTGTCGTTTCTTTATTTATTGATTTATTAATTACCTTCATCATTAAGTCGTTTAATCTCGTTTAAGTTAAGCAATAAAAAAAACTCATTATACTTCAGATGTGTTCAGTGACATAAAATTTTATTGCAATTAGAGCATTAGGATACATTTGCATCAATAATTGTCTCCATACAAGTTCGGTTATTACCACATTATGTTATATGTCATTTAAACTGCTTACAAGATGTATCACCTTCGATTGTAAAAATGATAATGATATATGAGCAGTGGCAACTGCTGTTTTAAAAGTATTTAATGGTATCACTTATACTCCATCTACATTTTTACATTTTACATTTATAATTTCAAACTCTTCAGTCTTCAAACATGTAAAAGGGCTGTGAAGTGTTAAACTCATTTTAGAAGTTGTTAATTTGATTTTATTTAATTTATTGTCAAAATACTGAGATACAATCAATTGACAAAAATGATGAGTTGCTAACCAAAGCTAAAAGGTTTCATTTACATAACATTAATTGGCCGAACTACTTAAGTATTTCACAAAGAGCTGATCGTTATTGAATTTAAAGCAGATTAAATTTACATTAATTAAGGCACCAACGATATTGGGCTGACGTCGAAAACGAAACAAAGCAATTTGTGAGGCGAAATAATAAACTCAGAAGACACAAACTTAATTAATAATTTCATAAAGCACGTACGCACTGACGCAGCATCTCTCAGTGGTGCAATAAATCAGAGCAGACCTGAACCCGAGTCTGCATCCCAGCCAGCACAGATGTGCGCGCTGAAGCGACGCCCAATCTCTACTGAAGCCACATTTGCATTCTGCCGAAATTAATATGCAAGTGTATCGCATCGTAACTAATAACTTTTTTTTAATTAATTTCAAAAAAGTTGGGAATTTGAGATACTTTTAAGTTTTAAATCTCCGTCTATTTTTTTTTTTTGTTATGAATATTTGTGTTTTAAACTAAGCTGAACTTGAAAAATGCACGAGCGTTGTTTGCAAAAATTTCAATAAAATTCGCATAGATTTTTATTTTACTATAAATAAGCTCAGTTGCATTGTCATTGATATCACAAACCTCTCGCACTTCACAAAGTGTACATCAAAGCAAACCAATTAAGCAAAAGATGCGTGTTTTTGTTGTAAGTAAATAAATAATCCATTAATTTGTTTAAATAAATAAAAACTCTCTAATTATTATTCTTAGGTGCTAGCTCTTATCGCACTTGCCCGCGCTGATGTTGGCGGTTACAACTATGGACCATCATCAGGCGGTTCAATTGGCGGCGGTTCCATTGGTGGTGGCTCGATTGGCGGTGGTTCAATTGGCGGTGGTTCTATTGGCGGCGGAGATATAGGTGGAGGTTTCATTAGTGGTGGAAGCTCTTTCGATGGAGGTATTGGCGGTGGTGATAGTGGCTCAATTGGCGGCGGTTCCATTGGCGGTGGTTCCATTGGCGGTGGCTCAATTGGCGGTGGTTCAATTGGTGGTGGCTCAATTGGCGGTGGTTCAATCGGTGGTGGTTCATTCGGTCCAGCTCAAGGTGAATTAGTTAAAGAATTCTACTCATTTGATGCTCCAGAAGGTGAATTTGAAGATCACAGCCCATTGGGTGATCTCTCCTCATCACTTAAAAAGAACTTACGTGTTATCTTCATTCGTGCACCTGAAAACAATGGTCTCTCCAACGCTGCTCTTAACTTGGCTAAATCAGCTGGTGACAGCAGAACCGCCATTTATGTACTTACAAAACAAGGTGATGTTTCAGATTTGGCTAAGAATCTCCAAAACATCAACAATCAAAATGCCAACAAACCAGAAGTACACTTCGTCAAATACCGCACACCTGAAGATGCTGCCAATGCTCAACGTACCATTCAACAGCAATACGATAATTTGGGTGGTGTTTCCCACTCTCATAATGGTGGTGTTGCTCCAGTTTTGGACTTCGCTTCCAAGGCACAACAACATGGCGGAAATAATGGCGGTATTGGTGCTACAGTCGTTGGCGGTGGTGCAGGTGGTTATGAAAATAGTCCAGCACCAGCTCCAGCTCCAGTTCCAGCTCCAGCACCAGTCAGCAGCTACATTCCACCAGCTGCACCCAGCAACACATACTTGCCCCTTATTAAATACTAGGAAACGCTCACGCATCTCAAAATTGATTAGTTTTGTGAACTGTTTTTAATGTTTTTATTGTTAATCATTGCCATTCTGTTGATAATTTTTGTACACATTCTTAAAGGATTGACTCTTTTGTAAATATAACTCTTAACTATTTTCTATACTTAATGTTTTTATTTATTCATCCGGATACTATGGCAATTTTCAAAAGGTGTATTGATTAAATTATTTAATTGACTACTTACTAATTTTAAATGACTCAGTATTAAAGGAAATTACAAAGGAAATTAAGAGCAATTGAAATTTGCTCTAAATAAGCAATGATGGAGAAGATACAATTGTACCGGAATGTAGGCGTGAAACATAAATTTATCATGTTTGCTACCCAATAAATACGCCCCTTCGTACTATTCAATACGATTCGTTTTCTAACAGGAAATATTCCAATAGGTAGATGTAACGATCGATTAAGATCACTCTTCAATGGCTACTGGTAGAGTTGTAACTAAAGAAAGGAAGAAGGGGACTTATGTACTCTATCAGGTTTCTACTTTCATAAGTGTATATCTGAAATATTTAATGGGTGTATTGCTGACATTACTCACTTTATCGGAAGTGCACAATGGTTTACTGGTTTAAAATAGGAGTGTCCTACTGTCATCTAGTACATTCGTTTTAAGACAAATTCATAGTATCATAACATTCTTAGAGTTTTAGAATCTAAGCGGATCCTCTGTCGGCTTCTGTTTACCAAATACAAAACATTATTTCAGATTTGTCTAGAATATAATCTTACGATCAGCTAACGCCATAGCATTTCTTTATGATATCACAATGATATCACTCAGATACGAGTGGGTCATTAAGATTTCATATATATCCAGAATAATATTCTTCGATCAGCTAGTGTTTTTGTTATCTTTATGATATCACAACTTCTTAAGATTCTTAAGAATCTTCTAAAGATTAAGACCGCATATACCTATCATATACATAATAGTCTTTTAGATTGCAGATTTGTCCAGCATAATATTTCCCGATATGCATGTGTTATTTAGCGTCTTAATGTTATCAATTCGAGACCACATACTAGAATCTAAGTGGATCTCTTATCAGCAGTCATCTTTCAAATACAAGAAGATAATCCTATAATTACCTAGCGTCCTTGAGCGATTTATAGTATCACAACAATACAATGCCTTCAAGTTTAAGTAGATCATTTGTCCAACATCTATCTAACGAATACACTGTAACATTTTAAATTTCATATTTTTTAAATGAAATATATCTTCAATTAAAAATGTTAGGCAATCTTTTTAAATTATATATAAGTGTATAAATACCAAATTGAAATATATATATATGTATAACGCACACAACTTATTTATTATAATCAGACTTAATCCTGTATTGAATACCAATGTAACAAATTGTGTGCAAACTCGCAATCGAAACTTTAAAATGAAATTTTTAATTAAAAATAAATATTTTTCTTTCCATACGAGTATATGCAAAATTAAATTTTTCATAAAAAACTAATTAAAATACATTTCTCTGTTTTCCATTTAGTAAAAATATTTAAAAATACATTTATCATAAAATGACTAAAACGGCTTTAACGCCACTTTCGCCGTCAAGAAGTTAATCCACTGATGTCATCATTGCGGCATGCGATGTCCATCAGTTAAAATTGGTTCGAGTATGGAAGCGAGCCAAAATAAAATGGGTGCGCCCATACCCGTTCCGAGTTCTGAACAATCGAGTACATTGACAACTTCACTAGCGGATAAACAATGTCAATGCATTTAAATTTGCATATTTGCGTATTAATAATAATGAGTAAATAATAAAATTGAAAAAGTGCCGTTTACGAGCATCAAATTGCTCACATTAATTGCTATTTTAATGGGAACGATGGAAAATGTTCCAATTTCGCAATTTCACAATTCGGTGTCACTGTTATTCTCTTCTTCATTATTTATTAATTTGTTATTGTGGCAGTTTTTATTTAGGACACAAAGTCTGTGAAAAATACTGCACATAATATTTAAAAAATAATATTTTATGCAGTCAAAAGGTAGTTTACACGTCGTTGCACAATTTATGTTTGTGCAACACGTAAACGGTTCACCCACCCAATTGCGCTACAAACAAAAGACAGGCATGTTAAATATTACAAGCATTACAATTGTTTGGCGGTTTAGCATGTTAAGTTGATTATGGAATCTATATATATGGAAATATCTTGTTTTAAAATTTTTTTTATTTTAAATATATAAGTTAATGACGATCATTTTTTCGGACAATTTAAAAATTTCAAACTGACCTGAAGGAGCTGTCACCATCAACTAACTTACGTTAATAAGGGTTAGTAGTTTAGACAACTTAAGAACTTTCTATCGATCTCACAGAGCTGTCAAAACTAGGGACTTGGCCACATTAGCAGACTTTTCAAGCTGGTTCTGTTTCAGTTGAATGAAGGAGTCATGCCTGCCAGCGTTGCTCGTACGCTGACCACTGAAGTTTATTTAGAAACACTTTTAGTCTGCGCTTAACTAAAGCTTATTCGGGAAAAATATAAAAATAAGATGCACGGTAGAAACTATGTTAAAGAGTAAAAATAGTAAAAACATATTGAATTATGGAGTGACATTTGGTTAGGTTAGGGTTTGTCGCAAGTCTGCTATAAACTTTAATTAGACTACCTGTGGTTCCGTTGTTTTACCATAGCGTGTCTCCCTTGACCCTTGATTTGCTGTTCTACGGGATTTTTAGAGAACATGAATTTTTTATATTTTCAGGCTTTCGAAATTAAATTCTAATAGTTCTTCGCGCTCTTTGGAAATGCTGCACATCTGGGCAATTGATGTGAGTTTTCAAGTTTTCTTTTCAGAGGCAGCAAATTCTGATCTCTTTTTGCCAAAGATTGACATCTGTATAATTGATGAATGCTTAATAATTATTCCGTTTCTCCTTTATAATTCCATCCCTTGGCAGAGGCAGCAGTTTCTGGTAATTCTGGTAATTCTCTTTGCTTCTTGCCAAGGCTGAACATCAGCACAATAGATGTCAGCTTAATAATTATACCCTCTTTCCTTCATAATTCTATCCTTTGGTAGAGGCTTCAGTTTCTGATTGGTTCTCTTTGTGTCTCGCTAATGTTGGATATTTCTTCCTCTTTATAATTTCAGCTCCTACCAGACGGAGCAGTCTCTCATAGTTCTCCTTGCTTCTTGCTAAAGCTAGCCGTCTGCACAATAGATGAGAGCTTGATAATTGTTTACGTTGTAGCCAGTTATAAATTTACTAGAAATATTGTCGATTTCTTCAATCTTATATATTTGTATATCTTATGTTACATATGTAGCGCATCTTAAAAGTCATTATAGTCGTCAAATGAATTTCTTTCAGGTTTCTATTTTACTTGTGCGACTTGCAGACAAGAAACACAAAAAGTTAAACTGCGAAAAATCGTTTCTCTTTTTACAAAGAATTCCTTTGGCAAATCCTTGCAGTTGCTGCTTTTTTCATTTAAGTTGGCATAAATGGCGTACAAAGAAAAGAATCAGGAAACAGTTTCTCTTGTGAACATGCACATTAAAAGCCACTTTGGGTAACGCAACTCAGGTAGAGGAGCTGGTAATTGGGCCTTTAAATTTATTATTTTTATGTACTACAATTTGTGGTGCCTGTCTTTAAGCTACAATGATATATGTTATATCAAGTGATAAAGGTCATTGTTGGTTTTATTTCAGCTAAAAAATTTTATAGTAATAGCCGACCTTAAATATATTGTAAGTCATGATATACTAAATTTTAATATTAAAGCAATAGTTTGTTATTAAAGATAAAATTTTTTATAAAACATTTAAGATAAAATAGTTCTTTCGATTCAAATATGAACTCGTGGTAACTTCTTATATGTGGCTCTAATAGGTTAGGCTATTGTGACACCTTTGCAAACTCAGACACTTCCCAACCATTCTGATACCATCACTGACACCGAAATTTTCTTGTTCATAATTAGTCAAGGTACTTCAACTCTTATGTAGTATACTATATTATTTTCTAAAGAAGTTGTGTTAATAGAAGTCTGTTCTAATAAATGAAACGGCTTTTTTTGCTACTATCCTGTACAATGTCTTAAGGGACTTATATAGTATGATTGTTGGTACATAGTACCACTACTAAATTAAGTTTCATGAATCCCAAAATTTATTGACGTAACTTAAGACACATCTTTGAAATTACATGTTGTATTATTAAGTGATTTATTTTGGTTGAAGTTAATGTGGGCTGCATGTTAAGTCTTGCGCTTAGGGAACACTAATTACTGCCAGATGAATCCCAAAGTGAGTGCATACCTATATGTAGGCTGTATTTTAAGTCTTTCGCCTAGGCAACACTAAGTACTGCCAGATGAGCCCCGAAGTAGGTGTATACAACAACATCGGCTGCATTTTAACTCTTTCGTCTAGGAAGCACTAATAACTGCCATATGAATTTAGACGTTTCGTTCGAAAGTTCGTCATTTTCTAGTATAAATATCATTACAATATTTCAGCTATCATATCATTACAATTTGTAAGCTGTAAGTTAGATTTTGCCTTAAAAGACAACCCTCGTATTCTCGTATCTACTACAATCAATATTAAGATTGCCTGTATGCTTTTTCACACGTTGGTGCATATATATACGTAGGCTGCATTTTAAGTCTTTTGCCTAGATATTTCTGTTCACAAGTTTGACATTTTCTAGTATAAATGTCATTCAACGTTTTAGTTATTAATTACAACTTAGTTTTAGACTTAAAAGATAGCCCTCGTATCCCACACAAAAACTACAATCAAACCCAAGATTGATTGCCTATATGCTTTTCACGTATACTCTATAACATATATAGTTACAGTACAGTTACCCTAGCCCTTCTTTAGTTACAACTTACGTGTTTGACTAGTGTTACATGCTATTCGCTACTTCTAACCAAATAGAAGAAGAGATTTGAGTAAGAGCTCCTCTATCATCGTATAATTCATATTTTGTTAATGAAGGCTAAACATTTATGAGTTTCTTATCTTTAACTCTGTTTAACTTCCTTTTGACTTCTGGTTCAGTGCAACTACAAATTAAATACTCGTACATTATTTTTCACAGCTTTTAATGGTTTCACACAAATAATATTAAAGTTCAGGTTGAGCAGGACACGTTTTTCACAATCGTTCGTGCTTATGCTTTCCTCTTTCCCTTCACGCTTAGCGTCAAGTTTTTCAAGAATTTCAATTTTACGTTCTTCCGTGGAAAGCACGAGTATTTTTTCCCTCATTTTCTTTCTGTTTACATTTCTGAATTCCTTCAAATTTATTGTTTTCCTTCCTAATCTGTATCCTTAATTGTATTTTTTATTGCTGCCCTAATGAAATATGGAAAATTTTAACTAGTTTTCAAAGTTCTCCGCTAAAAGGTGAGGTGGAAAGCTTAGCATTTGATTTCTCGCTAAGATTTCCACTCCAAATGAATTGTCACGTTTTTATTTATTGAAATTATTTTTTGAGTATATTTCGCTATTCCGCTATTTTGCAGTTTAACGTTTAACTCGTCGTAGTCACGTTACTTTACTCTGCGTTTCGCTGATTAAAATTACGTTTTCCTGCGTTCAGCTGCGTTCTGCTACGTTAGCTTGCGTTGGGTTGTGTTACGTTGCGTTACGTTACGTTAGGTTGCGTTAGGTTGCGTTGCGTTAGGTTGCCTTATTTGCACGCCATTGATAACAGCGTAAAGCTGAAATTAAATTATGTCATTTTATGCCAATATTCGCAGCTGTTGACTCGCATATTGGAAAAATGTCAAGGGTTCCCATATCCTCCGAATAATAATATCCACATCCACATATTCGCGTGCTTAGCGTAGTTCAGAAAAGTGTGTCTCTGCACTACGTTGGAGTACGATGGAGTGTTTGTTTTTGTACTTTTATGAGCTGAAATGAGTTGGGCTGAGAACGCATATTTTACTCGTTACATTCGAGCGAGTTTGTGAATATTTTATTGCACTTTCTGCGTTGTTGAAAAACTTTAAACTTTGAGTTTCGTTGGGAATTTTATTATAAGCATCTATCCAAACACATAGCTATGCATATGTATATGGTATATGCATATAAACTATATTTTTTATCTACAAATTTTAAGTAATAACACCTCACATATGTAAGGGCAAGTGTGTCCTGTGCAAAATCGCACATATGTTGTGCAATAGTTTCAAGGATCCGTATTTACAGAGGCTAACGGTTATGCGCTCTATTTATATGCACAGGAATCACCGAACAGCAAACCATGTTTGTATACATGTAAGGTATGTCCTTTGTTTATATGTATGTGTGGGTGTGGGGATGTGTGTGTGTTAGCAAAAGACACATAAATTATTAATGCTGATAAGTTTTTTAAGCAATAAAATACCATAAAACAAGGACGTGCATTATGTTGCAGTGAGCTTTTAAATAAATAGGAAAACTTATATCAAATATAACCTTGTATGCCTCGTACATCCTTTTTTCTTAATATGATTCGTACTTCAATGATTTTTTACGCTGACGGCTATGAAATTCGATAAAATAAAAATATAGTTAAAGCTTAACTTGTGCCTGGCAATAATTTAGGCAGTTAACATTCACATTCGCTTCACAGTTTTCAACTCCACTTCAAACACTTGAGAAGTTTAAGTTTAAATTTGTAACATCCGCGAGCACATATGCCCAACAGCTTTGATCCTTGGAGTTAAGCACACTTCTTCTAAATAATCCAATATGCATCAGGTGAAATCAATATGGAAGAGCAACAAATACAATTTGTAAATATTTTGATAAAGTGAAATATCAAGAGGAAAATAGAAAAATAGAAAATAAAATGAGAAAATTTTATGTTACTATAAAATTGTTTCTCATTGCACACTGAACTACTACAACTTGCTCTTCCTCCTCCTCCTCCTCCTCTCCCTCTTCCACTTCCTTAACATAGACTCCTTCCTGTTTTCAACTAAAATGCTATCAGATACAAGGAACTAAACTAAAAAAAGAAACAAAATACAGCTTAGGATGCGTAGTGTGGCCACGAGTTAAAAAGTAAAAAGCCTGACAGGCCCACCCTTGAAGGTACAAGGTGCCTTCATCCGCTCCTCATGTGTTACGGCGAAGGATGTGGCAAGAGTTCGTATATTGGAAAAGTTTTACGTTGATTTTTAATATCGCAGGTGAGTGTAAATAATTTATGGCATTTACGTTTCACTTGCAATCGTGCGAAGAGACCAACACATACTTATGTGGATTCTTACATTATGTGGAATACTACTCTAGCTACTCTAGAATGGTTTTTATACACATGTGTATATATATACATGTGTATGCATATACTCAGTATGAATGTAAGTAAATATTGTACGCATTCTATATAGAACGTATCATTCTGTATTGGATTATATTACGAAACGCACAGTGGAAAAAATTAATGAAACTGCGCCTTAATGAAAGGCACAGTACAAATAAGAGATTGTGATAAGGAAAGGTAATTGCCCATATATATAAATTAACACTAATTTGTTACCGAAGAGCAGGGCAGTCCTTTTCCACAGAACAATAATTATTAATTTTGTTTATTGAACCAATTAAAAATGGCTTAAAAAACTATAAATAATTTTAATAATTGCCAGTGAAAGAGTTATAAGGTTGAGAGAGGTAAGAAACAATAACGTTTTCCGAAAATGTCAATTTATTTACTTTTTATTTTAATTAATAATGTTATTGTTTGTTAATATATCTGATGTTGTACTCAATACATTTATTATCTATTTTAATTTTTTACTTAATATTATTTATATATTCATTCGACTTGGTATAATTATCTTCGTACAATATATTTTAAAATTATTTCATTACTTCTCAGTAATAAGGTTGGACACCACAAAATGGATAACAGTGTATAAACTTAACTTCACATACTTTAATACATAATAATGATAGAGAAGAAGAATAAGGTGAAGAGTAGAAAATTTTAAAAGAATTATTTTTGGAATCTGGAACTTGTGGAAAGGACATTTCCTTGCTTACTGAAGCAGTTGTTGTTACAGTTATAGTAAAGATAATAAATTTTCGATGCTTGGAGCAATAAAAAAGGAATTATAAGTATCTTATGTCAAATAAATGTTTACAACTAATATGTCTTTGTGCAGGTGTAATAAGATATTTTGTGCAACACAGACTTGTTGAAAGATACCTTAATTAAGGTAAATCCAATTCTTAAAAGAGTAAACATATCACATTTCAACTAATTTGCTTAGAGTTGGCTATAATGATTAACACTCTCTGCCATAGGGCTTCTACATGCATTAAAAATACTCTGAGTCTTCACAAACTTATTGTGATCCGAGCACTGGTAAATCACACACAGCATATATTGCAACTAAGTTCAAAAAATTGTCTACCTGTGGATCGCTTTATGGCCTAAAAAAACGCCGTTTGTTCGCAAACTTAAAGAACCCCAAGCTCTGTGTGCTCAAAGATTCGTGCATGATCGAAGTAAGTGCAGGATGACTACAAATTTTTTTGTAACTTACCGTTTTTAAGACAATATTCTCATAATAATAAATCGTTAGTAAATCCCAATAATAAATTCTAGTCCGAGTGAATCTTAAAAAAACGATAACTGATTATGCTATCTAAATACAAATGCTATCTTCATATAGTTTTTTCCCGCATCACTTGGAGCAAGATTATATTACGGCACATCATTACTTCTATTTTTTCTTTCCACACCAAAAATTAGAAGTTCTAAATTTGACGTTTGGAGCAACATATATGGAATACGTCCACTTCCTTGAGAAGAATATGTTTCCATGGAATATCATTTTATTTTTTTGTGCTTTATTAGTCAAAAAACTAAAACACTTGAATCTGATGTTAATTTAAAGTTCAATAGAATATATATTTAACAATATTTGACCCCTTTGTAGGGAAGAAAATGATAGTATGAAACAATATTTCTTCTATTTTGCATTATTTCATGGAATCTGACATTAAAACTTTGCTTATATAAATTCTTCCACATTCCTAAAGTAATTCAAAACTTATTTATATTTCAAATAGAATAATTTTTAAGTAGGCTCAAGCTTAGTTTGACAGGTTCTAATGCAGGATAAAGGTATACTTATGCCAAAATAAACTCTTTTGGAAATGCTAGCTCTCGAATGAAGATTCTCTCTATAAGTTCTTCTATTTGAATACCTTGTGCCAATATAAATTCCTGGAAATATGTCAAGTCTTTCAATGAATAAACTCCTGTAAAAATATTAGCTCTCGAATGATGATTCTATCTATGAGCACTCTCATTTCAATACCAACATAATCTATAATAAATTGTTGTAAAAGTTCAACTATTTTCGTGAATTTTAGAGAAAATTATGAATGAACTAATGCTGATATATCCACTGTGCTCTCGAATGAATAAGCACAAAATATTCATATCAAAAGTTTTATTTCATATCGAAACTTTTGCGAACTCCGCCAATATTTCAGTAGTTGGCAGTTGCATTGTTATTAACGTGCAAATGTAACTTAAAGGAACTCCTAACAGCAATACTGAGGCACATTGGTTAAGCGCTTGGAACTTTGATTTCCTTTTTCCGATGAAGAACTTTTGTTCTTTCTAATGCAAGTATATAAAAACATAATTTTTTTATTTTTTTTTTATATTTGGTTTAGTTTCCTTTTTCTATTTCGTTTTCGATTTGTTTTTCGCACCAAATATCTTTTGCAAAGTTTTACCTTTTAATCTCTGATATCATATAAGTGTTAAGTGCGAATGCAGTGTGATATTCTGACATTTAAGGATTTATGTTTGTGAAGTGCATGAGCGTAGGACTTACGCTTCCCTAATGCCACCCGCCACCCGTCACCAACCACCCGCCACTGTTATCGGTTTTGAACTACAGGAATTGTAAAAGCTGCCAACTTAATATTTCATATAAACACTAACTTACCTGTGCTTCTTCATATCGACGTGCTTCTTTACATCCTTGTGTTTATTGTCGTAATTGCGGTGCTGTATCTCATGGACATCATGGATATCGTGGATATCGTGCATGTTTGTGAGGGAGCTAAAAGGATTATTGTACACGCTTGTGGCATAATGATATCCATCGTGATGATGTGCTGTATGCGATGTGAAATCATCTACAATAACACAAGAGAGATTAATTTTATTAAAAAAGTTTGCACACTCAACTTCAAACTAAGATCCTTCAATATTCAATACTATGTATATAATGGTTATTATTATGAAATAAAATTTGTTGTGGATATATTCAATGATTCAATGCATTTTGTTAATTTTTCTTCTTTTTTTTTGTTTGATTGCATTTTGCTTTTTTACTTTCACTTGCACATGAAACGGCTTTGAGTGTCATTATAGTTGTCATCAGATTCGACAATTTTTAATGGAAATCCTTTTGCCTCTATCAGCCTTGAACCTTTTAATTTTTGCTGCTTTCTCATTTTCAATTTCACAATTTCATTTCATTTTCATTCACATTCCCTCTCCCACTCCCACTCCCACTAGCATTCACTCGGTGCAGTCCTTCCTGCCGTGCAGCTAAATTTTAAACACAATTTAATGTCGCAATGCGCTGACAACAGTTTTCAAGAGATAAATTAAAATAAATGCATACAAAAAATCCCTTTTAATAGAAACTCGTATTTACTCGAGAACTGCATTACAAATGCATTTGCTGCTTTCATGCTGGCATATTTTGCTTGAGCAGCTCTACGGTGCCAGCGAAACCCGAAAGGAGAAGATTTTTGGGCGGAAGACAAGGCAAGAATTTGCTGCATTGTCTGTTAAGCCCGCATTTTTTAATGTTAAATTGAAAGTTCCTGTATCTGTGGAAATATTTGCTCTGAAGTGCTTTATTTGTCATCGATTTAATACGAATAGTTGGTTTTTATTTTATATTTATTTGCTCTTTAACAATAAATTCCATGCCATTTATTTAATGTCAATGAAGGACTGCAGCAGTCGGACAGAGAGCAAGCAGAACTAATTTAATATGTATGCTTAGTGAACAATCAAAAGCAGTTTGAAATATTTATTCCGAATGTGTTCTAGATACTTTATTTACATTCCCAACTACATATTCTCAACTACAAGTATTTCAAATATGTGGAAAATGTGCAACTTACCAGGTCGACTACCAACCCGACGCAGGCTCTTATCATACCGATCGAAGAGTGGTACATGGAATTGTTGCTGATACTGATTGTAATATTCCTGATAGTATTGTTGTTGGGCCAATTGTTGCTGTTGTTGTTGTGCTTGTTGTTGGCTGCGGCGATGATTCTTACCACTTAAGGAATACACATGATGGGTTCGTACGTATTTCTCTTCCACCTGAAATAAATTAAATTTTCTTCAGAAAAAAAAAATAACACATACAAAAGTGATTTTCTTTTAATCTAGTCAAAAGATTTTTGTAAAAGCAGAAGTTATTCTAGTTTTCAATAGCTCAAAGAAACATCCTTGAAAATTTACATCATTATAGACTTATTTGCAGAAAATGGCTATTCTATTTTATCTACCCTAAGTAAAAATAAACACTATTTTGAAAAAAACTATAACACTAATTTAAAGTATGGAAATCAAAAATTACTTGAAAATAGTTCATGTTTATTTATATACTATATACTATTTAATAATTTTTTTTATTTTAATATCTACATATAAATTTTCTCCCTAACATTCACTTCTCAAATATTAACGCCCCATTTGCAACAGTTAAATTGGCAATTATATAAAAATATCTAAGCATCGTCAAGCAAACCTAAACAGACAAATTCTGTCGTTAGATCTCTAGATTTACCTGTTCAAAAAACGTTCAGCACTACTGTATCAGTAGTGACGAGCAACTGCATAGTAGGTAGGTACGCTATTAGACTGGGTCTTCCCTATAACGACTTATGTAACTATAATAACGCGATTGTGACTCTAAGAATGAAGAGAAAACTGTCTTCATATCAAGTGTTCGTGCCCATATATAGCTAGGAGAAGATTTATAATCTTCGGGGCCCCTTTTCTTGTTGACTTGACCAAGCTCTCATCTTACAAAATTAGGGACCTCGGGAAAGTCAAAGAACTATCAGGTTGGTTCACCTTTACCTAATAAGGGAACCGTTGTCTTTCAGCGATTCTCGTTTACTGACATTTCAGTCTATGTATAAACTAACGCTATGTCTGCGGTATCAGAACAGACCATTATTTGAACTCAAGTGGACTTTCTTGGACACAAGGACTCCTAATATTTATATTCGAACAATTTTTTTAAAATATAAACTAAAGTTTTAGCAATAACTTAGTAAGAGGTTTCTATTAATAATTTGAATAGCCGACTTTACCTTACCAATGTTAAATTAATAAAACTCCAAGCTCGAACATATAAGTCAAGTACGGATTTGGTTTAGTTGGCTAATGTACAATGACTCTGAGCTTCAAATTTGGTATGACACGAGTTCAACCCTAGATTCTGGCATCCTCAGAAAACTATTTACGAATAATTAGATAGGAGAAATAGTTCCAAGATCGCTGATGAAGACATTATATACTTTTTACACTAAAGCCCCTCAAGCAGACTCAATAACATATAGTCAGACTATTAGCAAATATTAACTATCAATAGGGATCGCTACATGGCCCAACTAATGAATTTAAAGGACGAAATAGTCCCTTTTCAAGACAATGCGTCGTGTCACAAATTGTTGGCTATCATAACTAAATTGGTCGAATTGCTTCCGCACCAAATTTAACAGACTAGGCCCTCAGTGATTACTTCCTGTTCGTACACATTAAAAACGTACTCCTGATAATGTGATTTGGCAACGACGGAAAAGTTGTCGCTGATACTAGAATATGTTTGTAGGCCAAAGATGAACATTCTACAAACAGATATTTCGGAATATTAGAAACACGCTAGAATGATTGTGTTACTCTTGAAGAATAATAGGTTGAGCAATGAAGTCAAAAGTTTCCAAAAAATTGTTGCTTTTTTGGTAATCCTTTGGACTTATCAACCATTGTGTTAATCTTAATCCTGATGATATGAGTTTCAGTGATAAATATTTGGAGGGACAATTAGCTGGATAATCATAATTTTTATGAAGGTTTTGATAAATTGACTTCTTGTCATTTCATATTTTCGTGCTTATACATGTATATGATGTGTATATATGATATATATGTTAATTTCAGTTTTAATTAATTAAAATTAGACTATGTTTAATTATGTTAAACATATTATTTGTAATTAACAGAATATGAGATATTTATAGAGTTTACGTAGAATTTCATAGAAATTTTTATTAAAAACTGCAAAATCGCGTAAAATTATTTCAAATGTAAAGTCGAATAATTCACAAAATAATCTCAAAATTTTCATTTTTATCTCCAAACAAAATTATTTTGTTCAAATATCTCTTGTGGGTGCAATTAAAATTAAATGCGCTCCAATGGTTCCATGTTAAAATGGAAATACCAGTGCATTGTGCAAATGTGGCTCAATAAAAAATCCAATTTAGTTGATAAACATTTGTGTGACAAAATCGCAATGCGTACGGTTTTTAAAATAAATTAACACAAATTTTGCATTAAAGCTAAATTATTTTTCACTTGCATTCATTTTTACAAACAAAAAATGTAACAAATTTCAAGTAATTTTGTATGAATTTTTTTTCAAAATTTTTTTTGTGAGTTATTAAGTTGAGCTTATAAACTCTGAAGTCAATTGTTATATCCTTGAAAAGATATTTCATATATAAAGCGATCAAGTTCAAGCATTAAATTGTCACTCATACGCCATGTGCTTGATTTTTGAAGCTTGAAGGCAGAAATTATTTTTAATTATTTGTGAAAAAAATTATAAATTATAAATAAGTCTATAATTTACAATTTTATTTATTATTTAATTTTTTAAAAATAATCAACTTTGTCTATTTTATTTTTTAAATGAGCTATTTATATTTTGATTTAAGTAATTGTAAGTTGTGAAGACCTTATTGTCAATATAATTTATATATAAAATACTGTCAAGAAAATATTTTGACGTATATTTTCTTCTCCCATCCCTTTTCTGAACAATATTTTGTACACCATTGTCAACAACTATCTTTTTTGCTATAGTTATGAACATACGTAAGCAATACTACTACTTTTATTAGTCACTATAATGTAATGGCTTCATATTAGTTTTAATTTGGTTTTTCATTATTTTCCTATAATTTGGCAGATTGACTAATAACATTAAAAATTATTGAATGAACATGCGATAGAAATTTATATTTGATTTCACTTGGTACTGCCATAAATAACAACAACGATATCAGCCTGAAAATTACAAAAAAAAATACAATTGCAACTACCTGTCTAAAAACAACCTGTCGTGATATAGTACTCTTTTTTCTTCCAATAAAACTCATGCTTATGGGTTAGCCCATGTAGACCCCAATATAACCCAATTTATAGAAAAAATAAACACTATTAATAAATAAGGACATATCTTCGTGATGCTTGAAAAAATATTCTGAGTTAGCGGTGGCTACCGCTTCTGAATGATCCAGGGTTAAGACATTATACAAGTAATAAAACGTTTACTGTGCCTTAATGATGTAAAAATCTAAGATGATTACCAAAGAATTAAGTACTATAAGTAAACTGATTAGAGTGACAGAGCAAAGGCAATATGTAATGAATGAATCACGGTGTAGAGGTACCAGATAGGATTGCTGGATAAGCATTCTTCTTCACTTGTATATAAAGACCACTTAAAATTAATAAGGTATGAATTTAATATTGTTTTATTTTATTTTCCAAAAGCCATGTTAGCCGTTTTTCTAACATCGCCTGAATACCCCCGAACTCAGTACGGCATTTCTTAACTTAGAAAAACGAAATGTGATTTTTAGTAAATGAGAAAAAGGGTCAAGTACTTTCTGTCAACAAACAAATTTCCTGAGCATTATGAGCCCTCCGATTCACTGTTCTTCAAGTTCAAAGTTGAAAACAATGACAAAGTAACAATGTTACTTTGGGCTAAGCAAACAATTGAGAAATGTAATCCTCTCTAGACAAACAAAAATCACGCTCTACAAATCTCTTATCATCCTTGTTCTGCTACATAGTCAGATGCTTGAACAGTTAGCAGCAGTAATGAGAAGGCGTTTGGAACATTTGAGAGAAAAATTTTTCTGAAGATTTATGGTCCATTATACTCTAGCAACGAGTATCGAATTAAGTAGAATGTTCAGCTATATGAACTATACCGCGATATTGACTAGTTAAGAGCATAAAAATTCAGCGGCTTCGTTAGCTTAGTCATGTCGTGCTAATGAACGAAAATTCTCCAGTTAGAAAAGTGTTTGATTTGGTGGTAAACGTATCCATAACTTCCATTGAAGAAGCACCAAATCTCTAATGGGGTTAGCTAGCGAAGTCTCCTGTACTTACTTGGTATATGGTGGAAAACATGGTAGAGGACGTCCGTTTTTTTGATGACTGTATTAGCAAAGTAAATAAGTAGTTAGATTATGTTAAAATGCTAAGTTACTTAGTCTTAAACGGTAAACTCTTTTTCTAAAACTAAAATTAGCAACACTGATAATATTTAACGTTCCATATTAATTTTTGAATGTAGTGAAACTATTTAGAAACTATACCATTAAACTATTAAGCTTTGATTAAATAAAGTCAAGTGAAATAATGTTCTGTTACCACTTTTCAATTAATTTAAATACACGATTGAGTCTATTTTCATCTTAATTATTGAGCATTTCCACCTCTTCGTTTCGAAAAATCATGTTACTTTATTAATTAAAAAAACTCTAAAATTGGAAACATGATTTATATCGGAATTGTCCCAAGTGCACAATAAAAAATTCGCATATGGAAAATATCCTGACCAATGTTTGACATTAAATTCTATAATTTTTAATGAATAAAAAAAAAAAATTCATTTACAGAGTTTAAAAAAACAAATTTATTCACACAATACATACAATATTAAATTATTTAAAGTTTATTTCTTTTTTGTGGTTTGAATGTCAAACCAATGGCATCTGTAATATATATAAATGTGTATATATATACCATATATGCCTCTAGATAGATATATTATTACAACATGAGTGCTATTGAAATTTGAATGGCTTTTAAATCCGTTTAATCTTTGAACAAAAACATTGAATTAGCGCACAAAAAACCAGGATATGTATAATTATGTATCGATAAATGACTATAGTAATTAGTTTAGTATCGCTTATCGATTGACATATGACAATGAAATGAAATACAGGCGTTTTGTGTAGCAAAAATATACACAAAAATAATTGACTTTTGCATTATCGGCTTGGCTTAAAAAAGAAATTAGTTAACCGATTTGCGTGATGTTATGATGTGAATAATTCATTCCATATTAAAAATGTACAATATTTCTGAATATAAATTTCAGTTTAATTTAAGTATCTATACATTGATACTAAACTCAATAAAATTTTACCTTTTTTCCATTTATGAGCCAAGTTATATGTGGTGCGGGTCGAGCACGTGTGGTATTACACAAAGCGAAGAGACGTTCTCCAATGGCAAATGGTGTACGTTTTCGGAACTTAATGGTTGGCGGTGCTGTTTGAGGTACTGGAATTACAATATTTTTCAGTTACATATCTATTTTGAGGAAATAAATTATAATTTTCTTTTCGAAATGCATACTTACAAAATACGCTTAATAACTCATCACCCGATGCCTTTGTGAAAATGGGTGTGTCTGTGGAAACTTCGCAGTAAAATTGTCCCGAAAGATCAAAATCAACATTTTTAAGCGTAACTTGGGTTTCATTTGAATTTTCCCACTAAAATATAAAACAAAATATAATATATCTTATAATTTTTTAAGATTAATTTGTATGAAGAAAACTACATAAACAATATCTATTGCTTACTTAAGTTTACTTTATATATATTATATATAAAGGAAATAAAATAGTTTGTAGTATTTTACAATGAATATAAATCAAACACAATATGATGTGTAAAATATTCAACGATTATAAAATGTACAGTATATATCTCTCGAGAGGTGCAACTACTGAACTCCAACGAATAACTTCGTTCATGCACGTTCCTTTTCTACTCTCTCTTCTTTTACTTACATAACGCAGAGTTGCCATGCCTTAGAATTACTGGCTACATATATATATTTTTTCATATTTCCCAAAACTTTTTTCAATGGTTTTTTTTTCATAATATGCTAACAATATTTTTATCCGTAACATTGCATCTTATATATACATATTACCTCATACATTATTTTGTATATATTTTATAGTATATAGTGAATAGGTATAACTGAGTTAACTTAGATATAGGTATTGAGCCTCATGATCTCAGCTATCTTCCATAACTACTGGAATGAATTTTCCATACTATGGTGGAAATCATCTCTATTCCTTTCTAATAAATGGAAAAGGATAATGTATATCATTTTAGCTTTTTTGTTTGAGAGGTCGCGGTCCAATATCCAAAGCACTTTAACTCAATAGTCTCTGTGAAGCGCTTTTGAGATTATTTTGAGCTCTTTTTTTAAATATAATTTCTTGTGATTCAGGAAAAAAATTTAAAATTTTTTTTTGTAGGAGATATGGCCCACTGGGGTTTTGAGTTTTGCATTTTAGACCAATTTTTAAATAGCCATATCTTAGGCTCTGTTATAGTCCTAAAATTTCTTTGTGTTGTAAAGACAATAATTTGAAAGTATTATAATTATTGTAAATTGTTTATATTTAGTTACTAATATTTACAGTTAATCTTAAATTTTAAAAACTTTTCAATTTATAGAATATTTTCATTTTTAATATAATATATTGTGCATTACATATATTATATATTAATATAATTATATTACATATATAGTTAATATTCTGTTACATATTATTCATCACTTGTTATATATTACCAGTTACATATAATAAATTCAATAACAATTTAAATATATATATATTTATATTTTTATGTAAGTATAAATAAATATATTTAAATACAATTTTAAATATAAAAATATACATACTTATATAAAAATATATATATATAATATATATATTTATTTATATTTATATATTTAAATTGCTTTAAGACAATACGTATAAAATTTTATTTTTTAAATAGGAAAGACTGCTATTAATATTTTAGATAAATAAAAGGTGCGCTGACTCTGAGCTTCAAATTTGGCAGGGCACGAGTTCGATTCCTGGTACACGCAGTCTCAACAAAAAAACAAAATTTTATACGAATAATTAAATACAAGAATTATTTCCAAGACCACTGATGGTGGGTATTCAATTATAAGCATAATAAAATCAATTTTTGTTGTTGTAGTTCACTACTGTTCGAAAAACCTCTTTATGGAATATACAAGTTTCTATTAAATATAATAGTCACTTCCGTTGAAAAAATATGAAGTTCAATTACAATTTATATTCACAAACGATTCTGTATAATTTAAGTATAATTTCTTATATCAAAAATTTTTGCTTAAATATTTTCTTCTAATCTTAAAGTTGTATTAATTGTATTTAAAATAACAGAATGATTTTTTCTAAAAAAAATCTTATATAGCTCAATTTTCTTAACCTTTTCTACTAATACATTTATATGAAAAATTTTTCATAAAAAATATACTTTGCATTGAAATTTACTCAAGTATTTCGTAGCAATTTCTTTTACTAATTTTTTTTTTTGATATTTAATTCTAATTTTTAGTAATAAAGTATTAGAGCAGAAATTAAAAAATGTAACTAAAAATGAAATTGAATTTTTTTTCTATATTTCTATATGGAACTTACCAATACATATATATATAAAATATTTGATTTAAGTTGTATTTCAATATTTTATGTTAAATACTCACATCGATTTCACCGCCTTCAACTGTGGAGTTTCGAAATGGTGGATTTCGTCCATTTATGAATTCAAAGAATTTACCCTTGTCAACTTTAAGCCACGTCACCTGCAAGTGAGGGATATAAATTTCAGCAAAATGATGATTTATAAATTAAAACTTTAATTTCATATTTGCACAGCTGTAAATTTATCAGAAGCAAATCTTAAGCCAGTAAAGGGTAACTCATTTATGCAAAACTGATGAAAAATACATGAGTGAATTCATGAGAAAAAGAAAAATAAATTTGGCACGTATCGAAGTTTGACAACTGAACGTCAAAAATTTATTTCACTAAACGAAGTCTGTCAGAAGATTTGATATGCCAGACGTTGACATTGATTTAATTCCAAGAAAACCTTTTTTGCCACAGAAAAATTTATCAAAAAATTTGATTAATTTTACAACCCAACAAGTAAACCAAAAAGCGGAATATATGTAGACCAGAAAGGGTGTGTCATAAAGTCCCCAGCAAATGATTAATTAAAGTCTAAAATATTTAATTGCACACACTCATATATCACATAAATACAATTTTAGTGCAATTCCAGAAGTTTTTGTTGGCTCTAAAAAAATATAAAATTGACAAATTGCCGTGAATTCTGCAAAACACAAAAGTCACTTAATTTTCCACACAATTGCATGCGCTGCAATCAACAAGTAAAACACAAAAAAAAAAGGAAAAAATTTATGAAATAAAAATTGCTTGAAGCTAAAAACTCTCGGAAAGACCCGCATCCATGCAAAAAGTGGATGCCGTAAAGCGACGGGAACAGCCGAAACGCGCAAAAGTGTAAATAATAAATTACAAATGTTTTACTACGGAGTGAAGTGAACGTATGTATGTGTCTGTGTGTGTGTGCAGGTGTATGTATGTGTATGTCAAAAGCCAAATGCCACTTATTTCGCTAAAATTGCATTTGGAACCACTTCGAATCCTTGGGGGCCTCGTTGCCTACCTTAAGTAAGCCATACTCAGTGTAATCGCACTCCATCAACGCGAAATCGGTATGACTTTACTCGTTCAAGCTTTTTTTTTATAGGTTAATGTGCTCTGTGCTATGTCGTTAGTGTTAATATTGCATTTGTATGGGATTTCACAAACGGATACATCCTTCACAATACGCACACAATCACAATCACTCAACTAATCTTTAGTAAAAAATTGCATGAATCGGGGAAGTACCGCATATCAGAGACTGTTTTTGCTTGTAATTGAAGCGAAACAGACGGGGAGTTTTTATTTTAAATGGAAGGAAATTACAGAAATATAAAATGCAATAAATTTATGTTTAATTACTTGTGGAATAGAAAAATTTTAAAGAAAATTAATGTAGTTTTGTTTAATGTGTTTATTTATTTACACTAATGCCTTGGAATGCATATGAGTGATACATGGAGTGAAAGTAGCCGACATCAAGTAAGGTAAATAGAGTGAAGTTTCGTTTACTTCGCATATCACAACCGATTTATTAATCACCTTTGGCTGTGTGCGAGTTCGAGTAAATTGAGATAAAATAATTTGAAATTTTGCGCTGCACTTATGTTATAATGTTTTTATTTATTTAATGCACTTATTTATTATATTTGGTTTCAAATTTATTTATTAAACATATTATAAAATTTTCATAATGGTAACACCTAATTTACCTAATTTTTATCTAATTTACCTTACTTGAAATTCTAGTAAATACCAACATTCGCTGCCATATCGACATAATTTACTATTTCCCTCACTTAACGTTCAATGTACTCAAACTCACACACGGCCCTAATATAAACATTCGCTGCCATACCGACATTATTTACTATGTCCCTCAATTTACCATCAATTTACTTGAACTGGTACACTGCCTAAATTAGTTATATATGAGAACTAATTATTAAATATATCAGCTTTCTTCTAGAATTTTCTGTAGAAATATAGTTCAGTAGCTTTTTTCTTTAATTTTTCAAAAAGTGACTATAGTTTTTTTCCAATAGTCAATTTCAATTTTTTTTCCAAATCTTTTCCACATCTTCCATTCCACTTTGATACAAAAAGTAATATAACTGATCTAATCGGAATAATATGTTTAAAGGGCCACCCTAACACTTAAGTATTTTACTCAGTGTATAAAGAGGCTTATATAAAGGCGCTTTTGCCTAAGTTAAGCAACAAGAAGTAAGAGAACTGATATATCTTATAATATTTATGGCAATAATCCAATAGTAATTTCAATCAATATTAATTTATTAATGAGTTAGTCTACCAGCAGCAAAAATAATATGGTTTCTATTGTATATTTGATTTCAAAAATAAATCGAGTAATAGTTTATATTACTCGATTAATTTTATTTATATAGTTTTTCAATAAAGGTAGAAACCAAAAGGAAGGTAGAAAAATTTAAATTACTCTAAGAAAAAAAAAAAACAATATTAATTTTCGCAGAAAAATTTTACTTTGTAATAAAGAAAATCCTAAGGCTATGCGGTGTAAAATGATATAAAATGCAATGCTTTGGGGAAAAATAAAAGTAAAATTATTTTCAATTTCCGTTGAACTTTGATTTTCAATCAATTTATTGTTTTTAGTTTACTCTACCGGGAATTGGTCATTGTGTTTAAACAATAACCTTAGAACTAATAATATTATCAATAAAAGAAGAAATATTTTTAAAATAAAAAAATTGAGTACTTTATTAGTCACTGTTAATAAGTATGATAGAGTATAAAAGTATTTGATATAATAAATTACACAGAAAGCTGGAATATTTATTAAATGACTTAAAATACGTATGAACTTAATCTAAAAATTTAATAAATATTTTTATCAACAACTGTACCATATCATTTAGATTTTTTATATTTTAGCATAATTGAAAAAAAAAAAAATTATTAAAAACTGATTTCTTTAAATTCCAGCTCTTAAGTAACTCTTTCAAATAATAATGGTTTTTATGTATAATTTTTTTAATCTGGCATCATTTTTATTTTATATTCTATATTGCAATATAGACTATAGAATAAAGAGGATGACTTAGATATAGTTTTAGTAATATTAATTTATGTTAGATAGTGAACCTGGTGATGACTTTCAAAGAGAGTCGATATATAAAATATAATAAAAACTATTAAACGTTGAATTACTTAACAAAAAGTGACCTATAGCCGTATAAAAAATATATAAAAACCAGGTCGAAAAAACAGGTCGAAAAAACAGGTCGAAAAAACAGGTCGAAAAAACAGGTCGATAAATAATCTCAAAAGAAATGTATAGTTTAACACGAATCTATTCAATAATTTTAAATAAATTCATTAAAAATAATATAAATTGTAAACATTATTTACTACTCCCATACAACACCATAAAAACTTTTTATAGTTAAGCATATTTATTAAAAATATTTCATTGATAAAATATTTATTATTTAATTATAAAATAAACTCTACTAATAATTTGAAGTAAAAAATAATTTACCTAAATATAATTTTAGGTAAATTTATATAAAATTACTGTGAATAGCGAATATTATTTACTACTACTTTACAATACCATGAAGACTGCAGAATATTCCAGCATATTTGTGAAAAATATTTAGATTATTAGGTATTGATTTCTTAATTCTATAGTAAAATATTAACTTCATATAATTATTTTAGGTAAATTTATTGAAATTACAGTGAATTGAAAACATAATGCTCTTGTGTTTAATACAAAATATTAAATATAAAATGAAATTCAAGTAATAAGTATGAAAAATTAAAATTATAATTATTTTTAATGCATTTATACAAAGAACGATGGAAAAAAAAGTTTTATTGGTTTTGTAAGCAAATCGCAAAGAGGACCCAAAAAGCAAGCAAATGGTCAGCGCACTTAACGTGGGCATTGCGATCGCGTTTTTTTAATTGCCAACCGCGACTAATTAGGATAATTAACTGAATAACTGAGCACTCATTTAATGGTTAAATTAGCCCATAGCCGCACAGAGTTCGCCGGAGCGAAGTTGCGCCATTAGAAGCACAATTAAAACAAAAATAAATGATTACTGGGGCCATGCCTACACCAAACAATCAAGGAACACATGTAAAAGCGGTACCACTCGCATTTTTTAGGCATATCTTTTGACTGTAATCTACGGGTTTCGGATAACTGTGTATGTGTGTGCGATGACCCCGCCATATAAATAAATTAAATAAACTAATTACAATTTGACTCAACTCAAACAGAAACTCAGACGCGTATACAAACACAGAACCTAACAAAGAGCTAATAAGAGAATATAAAATACAATGTAATGATATAAAACAATGCGTTTATATGCATAGAGGGGAGAGGGACAAATAAATTTGTTCGTATGTGTTTGTTTGCATTGTTTAAAATGTAGGTGTATTGGTATTGGTTCGGATCATGGCTGGTTTGTTTATTTAGTATTTGACTTTATTGCTGGACGTTAAATTTTATTATTATTTTGTATATTGGCGCGAAATTAACATTACACTATTGCACACACTGAACACACTGAACGCAAATAAAATGCGCAGCGAAGTATGCGCTCACAATCGCACGGAGAAACAAACACAAGCAGACACACACCAATGTAAACAAATAATCCGAAAAGCAGCGAATTAAGCACACCAAAGCAAACATTTGAGCGACACAATTAATGCGAAAAAAAATTTGTTTTCCTAACTCTGCGCCTTTGTTTTATGACCTTTTATTTAATAATTTTTTTTCCGTCTTCCTTTTTTTCTTTTTTCTTTGGTTTAGAAAAATGTTTTGCAATTGTTAATTTTTTTTTTTTGGTTTTGTTGACCAAATTCAACAAATTTTTTCATCGTAAAAAAATAAAACAATTTATTTGAATTGTTTGAAATTCTCATACAAAATACAGCGGAAAATTTATTCCTCTTCGTGCTTACTGCATGTGTATGTGCATGTGTGTGTGTGTGTGTTTGTATGTGGCTTCAAATAAGAAGTTTTATAAACAAAAGCATACAAGTGTACAGTAGCGGATTCAGTGTGAGATTTCGGTATAAATGTTATTTATATTCAATTATTAGAAAATTCTTAAAATTTTCACTT